TTACAGAGTTTGAATCTCAAATGCATCACTGAAAAAAACAACATACCTCTAGCGTGTGGCACTTCCCTCGAATTCTATTACAAAGAAGCTGGTAATTCTCCAGCACGACGTTCAGCTCCGATGTCAATTCCTGGCCACCAGAGGGCGCTTTTGCAGCCAATAACTTGATGTTGTCCTTCAGAATCTTCACTCTCACCTCCTTCTGCAACACATCCTCTTTTGCCCTCTGTTCCGAGAAAGGATGAACTTGAAAAATGTCTCACTTTCTCAGCAAGCAATGTCTTTCTTTTTCTTTTTAAATAACCAAACCAAAGTTAAAACGTCCACATGATTCTACCTACCTAATCTGGAACACGATTTAGGTGTAATCATTTAAAGAGACTGCTTTGAAATAAGACTGCCAACTATAAAATCTCACTCATTATATGCCCCAGTGTACAGTCCCATACACACATGTTCATTTAATAACATGCACTGCTAACACCTACATTATCCTAAGTTATGTTTACTGACATGAAGTATTTTCAAAGTCTGGTCCCAAGATTTTCCATTAATTTTAATTGACCACCAGAGGTCTGAGCATATTCGATTGAAACAAGGAAATTTTCACACACAAAAATGAGATGCACCATGGTAGAAGTTTCCTTTAAAAGTTATTCGAACATATTTTTTTCTCCTGCAACATAGGTACATCTATCCTTCTGATAATTAACAGCATTTCAAAGATGATAAGTTACACTAGAAAGGTCTGATCTAAAAACAGCTTTTTACTCCATGCTTAGGATGAAGTCTCACTTTCCAGGAAATCAACCCAAAACAGCTTTTCACTTTCTCTTTTAGTTTTCTTTACTGATTAATGGTTTTGAACTTCCCTAGGCTGGGTAAAATAATTAAGTGCAGTCATTTTTCAAAACCTAGTGGTTGTTTGGAAAAATAAAAATAAATGATGCTGCCCAACCAAGGGTGTTAATCTTATTTTTCTAAACTCTCATCCCTAGTGACTTTAAGAAAATACGAAACTACAATACTAATAGTGTAAAGGAAGACAATAAATGAAGTAAGATGGTTCTTAACATGGTAGGTTACCTTTAAAATACCTTATATACTAAATAGTTTAAAAGCTTTCTTAAAAAGCCACACTAAAAAAAGATTTGTCAATGAAAATATTAGAACTACAATAAAAGCCTCTTGTCACATTTACTTTTACTCATATCCAATAACATATCAATGAAATATCTTTTTTTCAAATATCCGCACAGAAATTTTTGCCTTAGTTACACTTTTAGGCAAGTTAATGCTGGCATAAAACATTCAATGTGTTACTTAATCTTATTTTTAAAACTAGCCTTTAATTACTATCTCTTTGGCTTAAACACTGAAGGGAGACTGGCAACAGTGTTAGAAATCTGGGAATGGCGCCCACTTCTTTTATTATATTAAAAATGAGAGCGTTCAAGACAACTGACACAGGAATATGAGTTTAGGGGAAAAAACTCTAACCAATAGTAAATCCTTTGACAATGTTCCTATTGTTACTCTTACCTGCTCTAACAAATGTTTTACATTCATGTACGCCCCGTGCATTAACTGGGAGAACACGTCAGATGAAGTAAGGATAAACCCCAACCGAATTGGACAGTCTCTGTTGTTTCTAACAAAAATAATTCTTCCCGAAAATTTGTGGAAATGGTGGTGATGGTTGCACAACATTGGCTGCGCACATCTATTGCCCAACATTGTGAGTGTGACTGATGCCACTGGTCCCGGGTCATTCTCTATGGCTCCCCAAGGTTCTAATGTAACAAAACATCTCAGGGGTCTTTATGGACACAACCCCTGGGCCAAGCTGAACAAGGGAGTCTTGGCTTCCTTTCCCTACTAAAATCAGAGCAGCAACACCCTTCCATCTTTTTTTTTTAGAAGCAACTTTTTTTTTTTTTTTTAAGATTTTTATTGGGGAATTGAGGGGATGGAAACAGTGCTGGGGAATTGGGGGAAGGGGAACAGACAAGTTGCTGTCCTTTTGTTCTTCAGTCTAGTTGTGGAGGATGTTGCTTCACTGGCCCAAGTTGGCACCCACCATCATTGTGCTCTTCCCAGGCGAGGCAGATCAGTCGCCGGCTTCTGGACGGCCGCTCACTGCGGCTGCTGGCCGCTCACGCTGGCTGCTGGCTACATACGGTAGCCCATGGCAACCCACTGCCACAGGGGCTGCAGCCTACACCGTCGCCGGTGACTCACAGCTGCCCAGCTCCAGGTTGAGCTGTTGTTCAGCATCTTAGCTGTGGAAGGCAGTGTCACTGGCCCTCATATGTGGGATCCGAACCGGGGCCCTCTGGCGTCCCAAGCCAGTTCTTAACCATCGCGCCACTCGGCCGGCCCCATCTTTTTTTTTTAATTTGAAATCTTACTATGAAAGATTACATGTACAGTTGACCCTTGAACAACAGGGTTTTGGGGCACTGACCCCCTCCCCGAGTAGTCAAAAATCCACAAGTAGCTTTTAACTCCCCAAAAACTTAACCATTACTAGCCTACTGTTGACTAGCAGTCTTACCAATAACATAAACAGTCAACACATATTTTGTATGTCTTATGTATTCTATACTGCATGCTTACAATAAAGTAAGCTAGAAAAAAGAAAATGTTCCTAAGAAAATCATAAGGAAGCAAATACAGCTTTACAGTATTCATTGAAAAAAGTCCACAGTGCAAGGGTCAACTGTACATAACATGTCTTACAGCTAAATAGCTGATCGAGTGACTGGTTGATCTTTAAAGGGAAGAGGGGAGCTATAAAGTCTGCTGACACGACTGTCTGGCCTCACCTTCATTTCTTCCACAGCACTCTCAAGTTCTTCTGGTGACTTGTACTCAAAATCTCTCTCCAGGTATTCTTCTTCCGCCTGGGTCATCCATTCCTGCATCTCTGCCAAGTCTTTCTTCAGGTTCACTGCTTTTTCCTGACTTTCAGATAACCTATTCTTTTGAATAGCAATCTGGAAAAGAAAAGTCATTTACCCAAGTAAATAAATGTTAATACACTAAATATCAAGTTCTAGTGTCTAATAGCTAAAGACACGGTGATAACTCACCACAAAGAGTCTTATGTTTCAAAATTCAGGTCAAGGCCTTTATACATTTTGTGCTGATATTGTGAAATGTAAACAATAAGGAAAACAGTAATTATAACTGAGGTCATATATCACATTTTGGATATTAATCTAATCTGGAAATATCTATCATAATTGTGAAAATGCATAACTTTTGACATAGTAATCCCAAATGAAGGAATCTAACCCTATAGCAATCAGAGAATATATTTCAAGGAAAATTACTGTAGCATTCTTTATTATAAAAAGAAAAAAAAAACCTGAAAGCCACCAAAATGTCCATTTTCTCCTTTTTAACAGGATTCTCCATTAAGATTTCACTTTTAAAAGCACAGAAGAGGAGGTTGGTATTAAAGATGTTCATAAAACACTATTTTACAACATTTTGCTTTTGAGAATTTACTTGTATAATCCATACAGACACACAAAAATAAGACACATTAGAAATAAGTATTTTCCTGAATCTGGTTCAATAACTCAGTGAAATATTTCAGAGAAGCCCAAAATGCTTTCAGAGAGATCCTCCCTCCAACTACACACTGATTCCTACTGTGGGAGAAAATTCCATCCCACAGAGAACTTCCATCACTCACTTCCCTATTCAACCTCCTGCTCCAATTCAATCTCACAAGCAGTGGTCACCTTGCCAGGGTTTGCTTGGCTGAGAGGCTGATGATGACCAGAGGCCAGTACAGGCATAGGATGGCTCTCACGAGGGTGAAGGACGATGCTTAGTGACTATCCAGCTCCTGCTCTCCAGTCAGGGTCACAGCCATCAAAACAGACAGAGACCAAACAGGAGCTTTGATTTCACTGCCCCACTCGGTACCGGAGGAAACTGCTCCCAGCAATATCTTCAGCCCTGGTTCCCAGGCCGGGCTGATCAACAGCTTAACCTCATCAGCTTTCTTTCAAAATACATACAAATACAGGTTCCTTGGGCCCCCCCTTCCAGAAAATTCTCTTTACTAATAGTTTCTGGGCACTACTAAGTTATAGATTTTTCATGGATCCATAAAGAAATGAGGAAAATAAAAGAAACTGTAGCAAACTTTCAAAAAAATAAAGAAAAGCTCGAAATTATAGTGATCCTTAAATTATATACTTTCTATATTTTTGGCATTAAAATGGTTTTCTTTCATAATTTCATGGATAGAATAGCTGAGACAGGCTGTTTTTGTTTCTTGGTTGGTTGTTACATGTCCATCCTTTCTTAGCAAAATAAAAATGTGACAGCATTATGTGAGTTTAAAACTTCTTCCACCTTTTTACTACTCAGTGATATACAATAGTGGAACTGCTCTAGATAATTACCCACAACACATGGTAGCCTCCTGGCTGAGGACACTTAAAAATAACCCCTTCCACTTATTCCCATGCTTTGAATCAGTAATAATTCACAATTAATCCTACGGTGTCACATGGGTGCTATATATACATGTAGATAGGTAGGTACATGCAAACATATAGATACAGAGATAGACAGATATAGATAGATGATAGATATCTGTTTATCTATCAATCTATCTATCTGCCTTTCTTGTCCCCATTGCCACTTCCAAACCATTTCCCCTATTTACTTCCCTAAAACCCCCTGCAAGCATGTGCCATTAGATTATAGCACACTTAGAGAAATTTGAATTTGGCTAAATTGTTAGATATTATGAAATACTTTCTTATGTGTGGCAATGGTGTGGCAGTTTTGTGGGCGAGTGTCCTCAGCCCAGGGAGAAGCATGCTAAAGTATTTAAGAGTGAAGTGCCATGATACTTTCAACTTCCTGTCAAAAGTACATTTTTAGCCAAAAAAAAAAGGATATATGCATGTATGTAGATAAAGAGAGCAAGGGAGAGAGTGAGAAAGCAAACGTGGTAAAACAGTAACAACTGGTAAATTTAGACATGGATAGATGGGTGTTCCCTGTACCATTATTTCAACTTTTCTTTAAGTTTGAATGTGTTCAAAATAAGGAATTTGGGGGGAAACAATAAAAAACAAACTACTCAAGGATGCAGAAATACATTTTTCCTATTTAAACATTAACCAAAAAACATTGTGTTTAAGAGATTTGTACTATCTTGGGACTGTCTGTGACATATTCCTGTACTTCACATTTTCTCCTTTTATTTTTCACCTTTTCTCACTCACTTTTGCTATACGTAACCTCACTATTGTCTCACTAACAAAACAGAAGCAATCAAAAGAGTGTACAGTATATTCATACTGTACCTGCCCAGTCGCTCTCCCTTCCTCCCTTCCATGACCATGGAGAAACTAACAGCAATTCTTTCACTTAGAGACTTCGCTTCAGAAATTATTTCCTCTCAATCTCTTCAGCATCACTATTTTCTCCTTCTGGATGAGATCCTTCTTTTTGGCACACAAATATCCTATAACATCTCTTATTTTAAAACATTACAAAACCGCCTCTTTGGATCCCCATGTTCCCTCACCCACCCCATTTCTCTCCTCCCTTGAATAGAGAAATTTCTCAAAGTTGCTTATCCTTGCTACATTCCCAGTTCCTCACTTGCCATTCTCTCCTCAGCAGTCTCCAATATGCCTTTCTTCCCCACAACTCCACTGGAATCACTTTCTCAGGGTCTTTAAAAGACTCCATTTGTCAAATCTAAAGCTTGCTTTTCAGTTCTGACTGGCCCCAGTAATACTCAGTAGTCCAGGGACTGTAAAAAGCTTTCTCCACCTGGCCTCTGGGGCCCCACACTCCCCTGGCATCTTTCCTCATTCTTAGCATTCTTGTCCTCTGTCCCTTCCCCTTTCCAGAGATAACCACTAAAGAGCTCCACCTGCATGCCCAATAAAGATCTCGAGTTTAACCCTTCCAGAATGGAAATCATTTCACCTGCTCCCACAAAAGCTTCTCCTTGAGTCTTTGCCATTTCGGTAAATAGCAGCACAATTCACACAAAGTGGAAGTTTTGCAAAAATCCTGACCTGTTCTCGACTTTGACTTTTTTTTTATATCACACAGCCAATCCAGTACTAGACGCTCATCTCTACGTACAACGTATAATCCAAACCTAACATTTCTCACGACCGCCACCACTAACTCCCTAGTCCAAGGAGCCACCCTCTCTCTCCAACACTGCAATAACCTTTTAAGTATATTTGCATTCTTCCCTTCCAGAGCAAATTATCCAGATGGAATCCAGGGTGATCTTAAAAGATCTATCACATATCACGTCCCTGCTCAAAACTCTAAAATTGCTTTCTGTGTGAAGTCATACTTGAAATAAAATCCACAGTCTTTTCCTCCAAGGCCATACATAATCCATCCCCGCCTACCTTCAATTCTCAAATCTTACCATTCTCCAACCCACTAACTCCTTTCTTCACTCTATTCCAGCTACAATGCCTTTCTTGTTCTTTATTAAACATGACAAACTCATTCCCACTAAGGAGCCAAAATGCACAGTTAGTACCCTTTGTTAATTTTTTTAAACGATCCATTTCCTACCCCAACCTGCCACCCATGTTGTCGTTTGTATAAACCACTCTTTTTCAAACTCGATAGACTGTCCAATTATTTTAATCTATCAACCTCTTAAAAACCAGACAGTAAAGTTGAAAAACTTACCTCCTTGCTAAATTTCTCCAGTTGGGTTTGGTAGTCAGCTAGTTTTGTCTGCACCCGCATTTTGATTCCAGCAAGAGGACAACTTCGAAGGTTAGCCTCTGTTTCCTTCATGTCTTTCAAAGATGATTCGACTGCTTCTAGTTCATTGACAAATGCCTGAACACATAAAACAAGCCCTTGTTGAGCTCACTCTCACAGAAGCGTTTGCCATAACTATAGTATGTCTGCTTTTATCCCTGCAAATATTATCAGAACAGACTGCTTTGGAGTCAAAACTTTTAACTACTTCAGAAACATTGTGCCTTAAGGAATTCATTTCACCTGGGTGCTTCATATAGCCATCTGCCAAATTAGATTGGAAATACCTGACTCTCAGCAGGAACTAGCACTTCTAATTAACTTAGAGAAGCCTAATGATTTCACGAAATATAAATTGCACCCAGTACTACTGGCAAATTTCATTTGTTAAATATGTTTTTCCTAATGTCTCTCGCCATGTGGGACAAGAAGAACCATATACAACTGGTAGTTATGACACTAAGATTGTCATCGTAACATAAGATAGCAGATAGCAGCTCCTAATGCACAAAAGTTGCTCTCGTTCTGTATGTCCAAAATTCTATCACCGTGGCCAAAAATAAAATATAATAAGTCATTTTTGATTAACTATAAAGCAAAAAAAGCTTTACGATGAAAGATACTTTATCTAGGTTTATCGTCGTGTCATATTGTTACAATGTAATAATAGCAGCAAATAATACAGGAAAGAAGAACATGCTATTTATTACAGTAGGTTCCCTGGGTCAGCGGGACTCACCGAGCATTGGTCCAGCTGCCTTTGTAGCCCTTCGGAATCGCCTTGGACGGCCTGCTCTATCATTAAGAAGTCTTTCACACCATCCATCCACTTCTCAATGACTTTCGAATCAGCCTAACTCGAGCACAATGACAAAGGGAGATATTACTCACTGGCATTCAGCCTACAAGATCTTGAAATCTATTGCTACTAGAAAAAAGACAGTTTTTCAAGACTTGGATAGCCATCATCTTCATTTAATTCTTTTTTGAAATCTCCCAACTTTGAAAATATTGATTTTCTTCATGATTGATGAAAACCTCATGGGATGACAGTTTGATAATCATTCTAAAACTTCAAAAACTTCTCCAGTGAACCAAGCTATTTTGCTGAAATGTGAGCAATATCTATGATTAAAAATTCAAATTACAGGAGATAAACGCTTTTCTAGGTGTAATCAGCTAAAGCCTTTTGTTCTCATATAATTTAGAACAAATTTTCTCCTAGTTCACTACTGAGAGCAGGAATAAATAAATAGCATAGTGGAGGGAATGCAATAGATTGTTCTTAGCTCTGCTGTTTGATGCCTTGTTATCCAAGAGCCCAGGACAGTCTGCTGCCCAGCTCCTGTCCTTCCCCCAACATTTACTAGTCACCCACTATAATCTGGTTCTGTATAACGTCAAAACCAAATGAGAAAGGAAACATTCTGCAGCGAGAAAGAGACTTCAGAGAGGCAGCAGCATGAGACCGGGCCCTTCAAGGGTGCAAATAAGTAGGTCCAACTTGATCTCCAATACCGGAGTAAAGCAATGGTCATTTCTTCCCAAGTCTCCTCCTGTTCCATCATTGGTCAGTGTGACCTGTGAATCTCCCTTGTATTAAGCTGAATTTGTTTCCTTGTACCTTCCTCAATTCTTTGCTTCTCCCTTATCTCCAGAAATGGAAATAAATGAACTATCTTGTTCAAAATATGCCTTCAGCTTTGAAAGCAGCCACCATGTCTTCCCTGAGTCTTCCATTGGTTAAATACTCCCAATTCCTTCCATGATGGCTCTAGAACATGATATCCAGGTGTTGCACTCACCACTCTGATCAATGCGTTCTGGGAACTACATCGACTTTTTTAACGTCCTTAGAACATGCCACACAGAATTAAGTATTCTTATCCTTATAATGTTGGAATGAATGACAACAATGGAATGTAACTGGTTATTTCATGTAGAGATAATTACACTCATAAAATAATCTAAAATTGTTTTATTTTTCTTATTGTAGGGCTGTTTTTTGTTTCTTTTGTTTATAGATATATTATTCATAATATTTCAGTTAGCTGAAACTCTAAAATTCCTGTAACTACATCAAAGCTCCCTTTCCCCATCTCACATTGCTTAATTGACTTCTGTCATAAACTCAGGATTTGATATTTATAAATATGAAACTTTGTCTTGTTATGTTAACAATAATAGTTAACAATATAACAATAAAAGAAAACAACAAAATGATTTGAAATTTTAGTCTCTCCACTTCCATGTCGGTTATCCTCTCAGCTTTCTCTTATTTGCAAATCTGACAGTGAAGTACCCTATTTCTATTGTGGGTTTTTTTGGTTGGGTTTACTTTTGGTTGGGTTTTGGGATTTTTTTTTTCAGGTGAAAAATAAGGCCACTGACAGTACCTACCTGAGCAGTCCCCCCTAAGGGTACCATGTCATTAACCAACCAACTTCCAGCTTAGTTTTTAAAATATGGGAATCTACATAATCCTGGCATCTAACTAGCCGTCCACCTCCCTCTCGTAAGGTTATAAGAGGTTGTCTCAAAAATTACACTGAAATCAAGACTTGCCAAAAATGAAAGTTTGTAGCATTGTTTAAACTAAATGAGCACACATAAAATGTGAGACTATGAATCTGTATATGTAACCATCTAGTATCCCTCCTCCATAAAGTAAAGAAAAGAAAGCAGTACTTAAAGGAAACGAGTCTGGGCAAGGCTTAGGAGTGGTATCCATGGTGATTCTTTTCAAAGCACAGATCAGGTCTCTGGTTGGTCATTTACCTACAGCCAGAGGCTGATATCAATCTTACTTTAGGTCTTTAGCTTCTAGAAAATAATGCCCACCCCACCTTTAAATTCGGACGTTCATCCATCTCTGTTTTTCTGGATATTTCTCACAAGATGCATAAATGTGACCTTGAGATCATGGGTTAAAATCTCATGCGACTTGGGGTATAGCTTTAGGCATCTGAAAGATCTGTGTGAATTTTCTGTCTAAATCAAAGTTCAGGATCTAATGCACTCTCAGTAATGACCAGTCTACACTTTCTAGTTTGCATTCTCTGAGGATGGGAAGGAAAAAGTGTTCATATGGTTAGGACTTTCTGTCTCTATTAGTATTTATTATATTGGGTTGTCGGAAAAGTCACGATGCATTTTTGTGATGAAAAACAGAAAAACATACATCATGACTTTTCCAATAACCCCAATGCCTCTCTGCACAAGCACTTCTTCACCCCCCTTATTCCCACACAGCTCTGAAAGCCCTTTTAGTCCCTCCCTTCATTTCTCTGTTTCTTAGCCTGCCTGTCACTATTCCCACAGGCCCATGCTACTCTTACCCTGAAATATTATTTTAATCGGTGACATATCTCTTCCAAGTGTTGGCTCCAGAACTCTAAGGTCTAATCACAGAAGGCTGCTTAGGAAGACATGGTCAGGGCGGGGTGGGGGTGGGGGGAATGTGCAAAAAAGAGAAAAGGTATGAAAATGTCTATAGAGTTCATGAAGAACGTTTTTTAACTGCCCATTTAATTCGTCACCACTTTTTGCACTATGAATCTCGACTCTGAACTTCTTAAGAATCCAAGACATCATTACTGCTGTCTAACAGGGCAGTTCATTAAATCTAGTCTTGAATAAGAAAACTGATAGCCTCCTGGACCAAGGATTTTTGACATTTATATGGAAGCATTATATGCCAAGGAAGCTTTCATCACAATCAGCCTTAACTGAAGTCAGCAGCCTCAACAATCCCAGTCACTGGCACATGAGAGGCAATTGTGTGGCATCAACCCCTTTCCGTCCTCCCTCTCTCAGACACACTCGCGTGAGCACACACAATTCACAGGCCCCTATTCCGTCTCTCTCTTATACTTCCATGTGAGAAAAACAGAGGAAAGCAATGGACAAGCCATGTAGAGAAGAAATTGATCACCTCCACAGAAATAAAAGCAACAGACAGGGATCTGAAAAGCTGTTTTCACTACCAAAACTCCTGCTCATAATCCTGACCATGCTGAGTTCAAGGTGAGGTGCAGTGCCCATGAAACGAAAGGCTGAACTCCAAGTTCGGTACTTTTATCAGCCATGAGGCCTTGAGAAACCAATTTCTCTTTGAGCCTCCAAGGCTCAGCTATAGAATAAGAATAATAACAGCTACCTTGCCTAGTGGTTCTAAAAAACAAAGATAATGTTTGGACAGGGCCTGGGACGGTGCATGCATGCAATCACTGGTAGATATTATTAGTAAGGTCTACAGATCAAGTGCTTTATTATCAAGATTAACCCCATAAGAAAGTTACCACTTCCAGGTCCAGCCGGGTGGCTCAGTTGATTAGAGTGCAAGCTCTGAGCAATAGGGCTGCTGGTTCAATTCCCACATGGGTCAGTGAGCTGCGCCTGAGCTGACAAGGGGGAGGTCAGATGGCTCAGTTGGTGAGAGCGCGTGCTCCTAACAACAAGGTTGCCGGTTCGACTCCCTCATGGGATGGTGGGCTGCACCCCCTCCCCTCCCCACCCAGCAACTAGACTTAAAGCAGCGACTGGACTTGGAGCTGAGCTCGCGCCCTCCACATCTAATTGCAGGACAACAACTTGACTTGGAGCTGATGGGTCCTGGAAAAACACAATTTTCCTCTTCCCCAATTCCCCAACACTGTTCCTTCCCTTCCCCAATAAAATGTTTAAAAATAAAAAAATTAAAATTAAAAGAAGAGTGACCACTTCCAAGTTCTGGTGCTTACTCCCGTCAGAGGCTCCATGGGAATGGGCAGCCTGGGTGAGTCTATGTTCGTGTAAGAGTCAGCTTAATGTTTTTAATCCCTGCCAACATTAATGCTTGTTCTATCATAGAACTGTTTAAAAATAACTGTTTGAAAGAGCTATAGCTGAGGCTATTTCTGACTACAGTTGGCTGAATCCAGCTCAGCAGAAGGACCCCAAGTAAATGAGGGAAGGCCCAACTTTAGAAATGCCTGTTGGCAGAGTCACAGAAAACCCCCACCCTGCAGCCCGACCTTGTGGGAAGGGTGACTGGGTCACTAAAATCAATACGAACTAAGAGTGAACGCAGGAGATAGGGCGCTCTCTCCACTCTCTGTATCTCCCCTTTCCTTAGAAGGGAAATATTGTCTCAAGCCACTTGTAGCAATGTTTCCTGTGCTTAAAAAAAAAATACCAAAAGCTGGTTCATCTTTCAGTCAATCATACAGCAAGGAGGTTACAAGGAAAGTGAAAGTGCTCACATGCAGAGCTTCTCTGTCCATTTAAAAATCACTGAGCTGATGCATTTGTGAGTTCCTAATGTACAATGAGTAATTTTTTCTCCACGTCCATCCATTTACAGAATTAATATATATTAACATGAATACACACACACACACACACACACACACACACATACATATATACACATTAGATTGGGTCATTTCTAACATTCTATCTTCTTTGGGAGACTTCGGTTCTTTGAAAAATTATTAATCAATTTCTAAAATAAAAGTCTGTCATTATTTCACATAAAAAATTTTTTAAACTGCAAATACTAATCCAGAGCAGCCATTTCTCACTTGTATTTATCCACAAAATTCTCAAACAAATGTAAAATGATGAATATGGTAGTTTTGAAAAACCAAAGTACGGAATATTCTAATTTGGAAGAGCAAAAATTCCAAATGACCATTACTGCTCAAAAGCACTGGCCTATAAGCATTTGGGATGGGTAATACCTGCTGTTGGGTCATGGAAAAGGCATGCAAGGTCATTAAAACAACTCTTTTACCCTGTCACAGCCCATCTCCCAGCCCAGCCTCTGAGCTAAAGGTGGAAGGAGTCTGAAGCTCTGGGTTGAAGACAATA